GGGGGTCCCAAAAGTTCCAACCCTCTCATTGAGGGTTGGTTCCAGGTCAAACCAGCCCCCAGGCTTAGGGGCTTTCCAAAAGTCTGGGAAGTCCGTCTCCGTGACATGAACTCTGGTGTGGCTGAAAGGGGCTTGTTATGATTAATAAAAGACACCTTTTTGGCTCTTATCACTTAGGAAAGTCCAAGGGTTTAGGAGCACCGTGCCAGAAATGAAGACCAAATATACATTTCTTTTTAAAGATTTTATTTATTTATTTGAGAGAAGAGAGAGAGCGAGCGGGGAGGGGGAGGGGCAGAGGGAGAAGCAGGTTCCTCACTGAGCAGGGAAGCCAACAGGGGCTTGATCCCGGGACCCCAAGATCATGACCTGAGCTGAAGGCAGACACTTCACCAACTGAGCCACCCAGGTGTCCCCCAAATACACATTTCTTATTATGAAATCACAACATCACAGAGCCCCAAACAGATTCAAGCATGTATGGACACTGATTTTCCAAAAAGGAGCCCTGCAGAGCACTGGATAAAGGGCAGTCTTTCCAAAAACCACAGACTGACTGGAGATCTATATGATAAAAAATAAATTGAGCCCTCCTCCCTCACGTCATAAAGAAAAATGAATCCAGCTGCAGATCTGAAGGTGAAAGGCAAAACAGTAGCACTTCTAGAAAATAACCAGACGGAGCATTCCATATGGTCATGCCTTTGGGGTAGGGAAATACATTTTGAAAAAGACACGAAAGTACTAATCATAACAGACAAGACTGATGAGTTCTGCTGCAGCAAAATCAAGGGCCGTTCTGGATGGCGCAGAGAGGAGCTAACAGAATTTGTGAAGTATTTAGAACTTGATGGAAATGTCAGTGCTGCCTATGGAAACCTGTGGGACACGGTATGAGGCATTCTCGGGGAGACATGCATTCCCCTGCTGCATTTATACGAAAACAAGAAGGATTTACAAATAAGTGAACCAAACTGTCCACTTCTGAAACAGAAAAAGAACAACAGAATAAATCCAAAGAAAATAAAAGGAAAGAAAATAAAAGCAAGAGGTTAGGGAAGCAGAAAACAAACCAAAAAATAGGACAAACCCAAGTGCCGGTGTTTTGAAAAGACTAATAAAATAGACAGTCCTTTAGCAAAAAGCGGCAAGGAAAAAAAAAGACACAAATAAACAACACTGGAATTAAAGAGAGGGCATAACCAAGAGATTAAAAACTATGATCAGGAAGGACTTAATACCCCACATCTGAAAACCTTAATGAAACAGACACTTTTCTAGGAAAACATTTATTAGCAAAACTGGCCCAGGAAGAAAGAAAAATCTGAACAGGCCAAAAAACAAAAAAGGGAGATGATATGTTAAAGACCTACCTCCAAAGGCATCTGGAAGTCATATATCTGCAAAATACACACACCCCACCACTAAATGTAACAATTATTAGCTAAAAATGTAGGACAACATCTTCCTGACCTTAAAGCTGGGACAGCCCTCCTCAATAGGAGAAATCAGCCAAGTCATAAAACAATGTTAATAATTTGACCATCTCGGATCTGAAATGCCAATCCTACGAGATACCTTGAAAAAGTTCAAAAGAAACACAGCACATAGGGCACCTGGGTCACTCAGTTGGTTAAGCATCTGCCCTGGGCTCAGGTCATGATCCCAGGGTCCTGGGATGGGGCCCCACATCAGGCTCCCTGCTCAGGGGGGACCCTGCTTCTCCCTCTCCTCTGCTCCTCTCTCCCTGCTTGTGCTCTCTCTCTCTCAAATAAATTAATAAAATCTTTTTTTTTTTTTTTAAGGTATGCAGCACACGTATTTGCTCCGTTTACATGTATACAAAGCAAAGTGTAAGTATCTGGGACATGTGATACACTCCCCCACATCAGTAAGGAAAAAATCCCAGCAGAAATGGGCAATGACTCCAACAGGATAGTCTCAGGCAGAAGGATTCATTTCCAAATGGCTGGCCAGCATTAGAAAAGCTGTGCAGCCTCACATTAAAACAGCCAATTATGTGCGCCCATCAGGTGAGCCAAAAATCCGGAAGTTAGCCAATACCAGTGCCGAGAGAGGTGTGCGGTGATGCAGACTTCCTCGGTGTGGGGAAGAGCGTCAATTTGAGAGCCCCTTTGGACCAGCTCCTTAGGGGCTGACTGTTGAGTCTGGAAATGCGCATGGCATTACTGTTAGCAACTCCTGTGTTTGTATCTGAAAAAGAAAAAAAAACAAAAAACAAAAACCCTCTGGGTGCCCAAGAAGGTTTACGCGAAGACATTCATTTTAACATTTAAAAAACGAAAGCAAACACAAGCTTGCCATGGAAATGTCCACTGATGGGTAGAGGGGTAAGCACATGCTGGTGCATTGAAGAGGCAACGTATTTAACAACAGCAAAAATGAACGTGTTAAAGCCACATAAATCAGCATGGCTCGATTTAAAAAATATGGTGGGGTGGGGGAAGCAAGATACGGAGTAATCTGTACAGCATGATACTGTTTTTATAAGCCACACACCATGTTCCAGGTGTACATGTGTGTGAACGGATTTATAACATCTGGAAGGATACAGGCCCGACTGATGAAAACGGTGAAACACAGGGGCATTTCTGAGGGACAGAAGGCAGGGAAACCAGCAGGGCGGTGGGTTAGAAGGAACATTAACTTTATCTGCAGCACTCTACATTTCCAGAAGGAGAAAATGCAGGTAATGTGCGTGTAGGGACTGGGCGAGGGCAGGCACCCCACGTATGCCACTTTATTGTCACACAGTGAGCGCGAGTCCACGGACGGAGCCACACAGGCAGGCCATGTGCAGGGGAGCACGTCCTGGATTTTATCTGGAAATCTTACAAGGTTAAGGTTTTAGAGGGCCCAGCCAGATCTCAGAGGGGACTGGAGCCCCAGCAGGGACCAATGTGACCTCAAGGCAGACGTGCGGGCCTCCAGGCTCATCCTGATCCCCACGGAGACCAGGAGCCACAAGGGTCTGCCAGGAAGGCCGCAAGCAGGAGCCAACACACAGGCCACAAGACCCACTCTTCCCAGTCCCCCTAGACCAGAGGCCAATGCTGTGCGACGAACAGAAAAGAGAGACCCGGGCATATTTCTCCCCCCAGAGACTGAGCATTGCCTAAGGGCTGTTTAGTATATCTCTAAGAAATATGTTTTGATTGTTAGGATGAAAAGTTTATTTATGTAATCAGGAAGCTGCAGGTAAGCACTTGCGAAGAGCTGGTTAAGTACAGGACAAGTCAAGACTTTACATCTTGTGGGCTCACCTGATCACAGCTGGAGTGAGCTTCGTAGCCCTGCTCCCCCTTCTCCTGGCCAACCTCCCAGGGCTTTGCACTCTCTGTCCTCCCCGTGGACCGCTGTCTCCTGCTCTAGCTCATATTCCACAGTCTTAGTCATCACCCCACGCTTGGGGTTTATGGAAGCTTGGGGCCTCACAAAGTTCAAAGTCTGCAACCATAGTAAAGAGGCCACTCAACTTGGCTTGGGCAGCAGCTGCAGCCCAGCGCTGGACACTCCCAGCTACACAAAGGGTTTCGGTGGCGGGGGGAGGAGAGCCTCAGGCTGGCCCAAGCTTGGCCCTGTGGGCCCCAGCCCTGCATCTGGCCTCCTTGGACTTCCTGCTTCTGAAAGGGGATGTCAACCACCTCTATTCTGACCTCATTCTGTACTTTCTAATTGATTAAATCCTTCCTTGCAGCTTATCTCTTAACTCTGGCAAAAGACCCTTAACTTTGGCAAAGTATCCCTATCCTGAGGTGGGAACCTAAATCACCCCCTTAAGCCACAAACACTGCCCTGAGCCCACAAGACCCCGCGTGACTGACCCTAAGACAATGATCAACCTGACCTTCACTGCCCACCAGCACGTACCCACCCACCTTTGTCCCACACTGTCCTTATACAAACCTAGAAGTGTTTTCAGCACTTTGGAGACAGTCTTTGAGATGCCGTCTTCCCGCTGCTGGCCTCATTGAAATAAATTCCTTTCTCGTTTCCCCACCACTCGTGTCTCTGCCTTTGGATTTTGCCAACGGTGAGAGGCCGAGCCTGGTCTGTTTGGGACCCCGGGAGCCAGGTGCTCGTGCACGATTGGGCCCCAGCTATACTTCTCTTCCCTGCTCAGGCCCCCTTCCTCCACGTTTACTGTGAACTGTACCCAGCTGGGAACTGGGACATTTGTGAGATGCTTTCAGGCCCTGTGAGCCTGGGGACCCTGCAGTTATTGCAAATCGCAGATTTGGGGTGTAGAAAAAAAAATCCGTGCCTCAGTGGAACACGATGCATCGTCTACCATACGTCCTTTCTGCTGTTATGTGACTCCAGGCTCTGTCTCTTTTACCGCGTGCAGATGGTCTCTCTAGGGGTTCAGTGATCTCCCCACCCCCACCCTGCAGAAAAGCTAGTTCTGCCTCAACTTAGATATTCATTTCAATGCCCCTCATCTATAAACAGGTCTCCTTTGCTATTTTCTTTGAACCGGTTCTAACATCCGTCTGATAGCTTCGCTGATTAAGGAGTAGAGTAAGTCTTTATCTCTTGTCCGTATTTACATCCGACTGAGAATTAGGATTTCACCTTCTCCTGAAAATTATCTTTGAATAGGGTTAGACGAACCGAGCTCAGATCTAACTGCTACAGCTTACCGACTTTGTAACCTTCGCGACATTGCTCTTCTCCAAAAGGGGGCTGGCGGAGACGGACACAGAGCTTCTGAACCCAGGGCGCCAGCGCAGCCGCGGCCCCGCCCCCGCCGCGGCCCCGCCCCCAGGCCCTCCTCCGACTACAAAGTCCCCGCCACCCCAGCGGAGCCCAGAGTACCCGCTGGCAGTCCGCGGGACCGGACGGGGCGGGACAGCCGTCCCGCGCAGTCCCTCCATTGGGTGGGGGGCGGGCCCGAGCCTGTGATTGGCCGGTGGCCGGAGGCGGGGACAGGTTCAGGCCTGCGATTGGCCGGCGGCGGCGGAGGGAGAGGCACCGTGATGGAGGCGGCTGGGCCGGTGACCCGGTCGGCGGCGCGTAAGAGGGCACCCAAGATCCCGGAGGAGCAGCGGGAGCGGCGGCCGGGGCGGCGGCGACCGCGGAGGAGGTGGGCCGGGAGCCTCAGCGTCCTCGCCCGTGAGACGAGGTGGTGATGCCCTCCGCCGCCGGCCGCGGGTCCACGCGGAGGGGGCCGGCTGGTGGCATTGGTGCCCTTGCAGGACCGGAAGGGGGTCGTGCCTGGAGCGGGGACATCTGAACTGGGTCTTTAGGGAGCATGTGGCGAACGGGAGGAAGGGTGTTCCAGTCGAAGGAACGGAGTGGGCAAAAGCTCAGAGGCACGAAAGGGGTGGACGCGTCCTTCTGAGCCCATGCTTGGTTCCTTGTTGGGGCATTTGCGCACCTGCGGGGAAGTTAGCAGCACCCTATGGCCTTCTTGGAAACAGCATCCCTAGCTTTGTTTTAAACCCTAAAGAGTGAGACCAGGGGTGTTTCAGACTGGACAGGGATGGCAAAGGAGTGGCTGCCGGCTGGTGGGGAAGACGTTTGCTTTTGGATGAGAATGTTGAGATGGCTCGCTCCCTCCTGAGGGAGGAATAACAGGTGGCAAAGGTTATCTGGTACCTACTGACGGTGTTCTGATAGGTGCTGGAGCAGGGGAGCTGAAGGACAGAGAAAATCATGAAGGAAGGGGGAAGAGCAGGGTGCAGAACGGAATTCTAAAGGAAGCATTTTCCATAGTGCTTGCGCTTTCATGAGACTTGAATGTCTCATCCCCTCCACCCACCCAGGTAGTTTCAAGGTCCCCTAGGAAAGTTATGAGGAAGTGGCCATGGATGTGGGGAGACTTAGAGAATTTCCACTTTGAAGCCTGTGGCCAATAAACGGCAGCTGCAGTGTCTTCTCACGTTCTAATGATAATAATTGCTTTTAAAAGAAGGCTAATTTGGATTTATCCAGGGTTTTCCAACTCTGTGTGCCAAAGGTTAGAATCCTCCACGACAGCTGGGGTTTAGCGTGGGTTCCACAGAACACATCCATGGAAACGTGGACTGGGGAGAAGGTCTGGCCCTGCTCTCTTAGGCCCTGAAACTCTAGTTCTGTGAGTTTTCTGGCCCCTTGGCCATAGCAGAACCTGTGGACAATGTGAAGTCTGACTTTGGTCTCTGCAGGGTGACATCTGGGGGGCTGGTACAGGGGGCTAGGTGTATTTAGAGGAGAGGAGAAGCCGTTGTGTGTCTGGGCGGAGGGCCAGCCATGGTCCTAACACAGGCTGCTATAGGAAGATCAGCGCCCACTAGTCCCTCTGGTTTGATGGGTATTTCCATAGTTTGCTTTCAAAATGTAAGTCCGAGAATAGCAACCCCTCCTCCACATGTCTAGATGGGGCCTAGTCCATTTGCTTGTCAGTGTTCTTTTTCTTCATGCTTTTACTTGAAAAAAAAAATTTTTTTTTTTAACTTCCTCATTGCTTAGAATTCAGGAGCAAGAAGCCGTCTTTCGTGAAGTGGTCAGTTTTACCCCGGATCCTTTGCCAGGTGAGACGGGCTGAGGCTCTGAACACTGTCTCCGTGTTCACTCCTGGGGCTTCGGGGCAGGCCCGCCCCTTCCTGGTCTCGTTTTTCTCTCTCAGTTATTGTCAGAGCATCTCTGGGGATCCCATACTTTGCATCAGTTCCTCATCGTTCCCTCCTCTGACCAGCTAGATATTATGACAAGGACACCACCAAACCCATCAGTTTTTACTTCTCTTCGCTGGAGGAACTCTTGGCATGGACACCCGACATGGAGGACAGCTTCAATGTGGCCTTGGAGCCCTCTGAGTGTCGGCAGCCCCCGCTGAGCAGCCAGAGGCCCCGCACCCTCCTGTGCCATGACATGATGGGCGGGTATCTGGATGACAAGTGAGGCTTCGTGAGGACATGGCCCGATGTTAATTCTATTGCCTGTTTTCCTTGCCTGGGACGGGGTGGAGGGGAAGAAGGCAGGGAGAGTGAGAGCCGTGTGGCAGAGAGCCCTGAGGTGGAGACAAGCCTCTGGAGCGGGCTGCCCTGTAAGAGGACATGGGTCAGGTGAGAGCTGGGGCCTTGGGCAGCCCTGACACCATTTGCTTCCGGGGACTGCGTGCCCTTGAAATCTGGTAGGCGGGGCGGGTACAGCAGCAGGCACCCCCTTCACAATCCTGGGCCCAGAGCTGTGGTCCTCACCCAACCCCTTCAGCTCTGACTCCATCCTCGGCCCATCGGCTCCGGCTGCCCAGCTGTGACACTCCCGTGTCCCTCCCAGCCAGGGGACACTTCCTCCAGAGTGGCTGCGCGGTCCGCTCAGACATATTAAAAGCCCATAAAACAGTCTTGGATGGGATGATAGAAGGGAAGGTTTAGTTGGAGTCGGTCACCAAGGGACAGGCAGAGGCAGGTGGCGACATCTCGGGTGCAGCTCGTGGTTATCAGCCCAGCCTTACGTGCACGGAGACGGTCCTGGAGAAACTGCTCAGGGGACAGTGCGGGGACACCAGGCACCTGGAGTTTTTGCATGAGCCCTGCCCCTTCTCTTTCCTCCTTTGTCTTTTGAGGCTGACAACGCTCAGCCGCTCAGCCGTCGGGTCCAGTGGTGAGCGCCTGCCCGGCTTGGTGAAGATGTTTCCCGTAGGACCGCTTGGTCTCAGGGCCAAGGTGCAGCGCTGCTTCTAGCTCCACCCGGTGTCTATACCATGCCGAGTGCGTAGCAAGCTTCTGTTGTGTCGCCGGCCAGGACTGAAGAGAAGCTTCCCCAGCGTCTCCGTGTCCTGGGTCCCGACTGCTCTGTGTCTCGCGCAGGTTTATTCAGGGCTCCACGGCGCACAGCCCCTACTGTTTCTACCACTGGCAGTCCATCGACATCTTTGTGTACTTCAGCCACCACACCGTGACTATCCCCCCCGTGGGCTGGACCAATGCTGCACACCGGCATGGGGTCTGCGTGCTGGGTGAGACCCCGGGGCTCGCCTCCCTCCCACTCGTGAGCACACCTGCCAGATGACTCAGTAACAAAAAGGCCTTTGTCTGCTTCTGAGGGAGTAGGGCTCCTCACCTGGGGCTGCCTTGATAGGTTAGGACAGGGGAAGGCAAACTTCTGGAAGGGACCAGGCCACTTGGTCACTGTCATAACCAAGACAATGCAGCCATAAACAATAGGCGAACAGCTGGGCTGTGTTTATGAAATAGGTTGTGGGTGGACGTGGCCCACGGGCCACAGGTGGCCAGTCCATGGGTGCGGTGGTTGCTTCTCAAGCTTTCTTTCCCCGCACCTGAATCATTTATCGGCCTGTTTAGCATTGATTGCTGGGCTCGGCCCACGGGGTGTTTGACTTCCCAGAGACCTGGGACGGCCGAGCATGTGAACGTGTAAAAAGCTTGCGGGCCAGGCTACTGTGCTGTTGCAGGAACCACACTTTGCTAACTGCTGAGTTCGCCTGACATCGTTTCTCTCCGTCCTGGCAGGGACTTTCATCACTGAGTGGAAAGAAGGTGGGCAGCTCTGTGAAGCCTTTCTGGCCGGGGACGAGCGCTCGTACCGAGCCGTGGCTGATCAGCTGATCCTCATCGCCCAGTTCTTCCGTTTCGATGGCTGGCTGATCAACATCGAGAACTCTCTGAGTGTGAGCATAGCCTTCTCCTGGTGCTTGCCCGGCCCAGTCACCGCGCACTGTCCCTCTGTCACTTTCCTCGGCTCACCGTGGCTGGTTAGAGCCAGCCCAGACACCTGCGTCACTTCGCCGAGAGACAACCTTCTCCGGCGCCGTGTCCAGAAACCTTGGTTGGCTGAGCTTTGCCTTGCTGCTCCTTCAGGGCGCCCCTTTCCTCCGTCCGCTTTGCTTGGGCTGCTTGTGTGGCTTCCCCTGGCACCACCCTCCCCTTTCATGGCGTTTCATCTTTTCTTCATTGTTGCACCCGTGTCCTTCCTGCTTCAGAAACGAAGGACAGTTGGGGCGTCTGGGGGGCTCAGTCGGTTATGCGTCCGACTCTTGATTTTGGCTCAGGTCATGGTCTCAGGGTCCTGGGATCGAGCCTTGTGTCGGGCTCTGTGCTCAGCAGGGAGACTGCTTGGGATTCTCTCTCAAAAATAAATAAAATCTTTAAAGAAAAAAAGAAAGGAAGGACGGTGGGAGACATCTGGCTGGACCCTCCCCTCGGTGGCTGGGGGGTTGGGGGACTCCAGGGACCGTGGCTTTTTTGTTGTCTGTGTTTGCTTCGGAGGTTAAGCTTCCTCCTGTCTGTCCTGCCCTGGGCTCTTCTGATAGCAGACGTCGCTGGGCCTCACCGAGGGTCTGCTCTGTCCCTCTCCAGCTGGCTGCAGTGGGGAACATGCCCCACTTCCTCCGCCACCTGACGGCGCAGCTCCATCAGCGGGTGCCGGGGGGCTTGGTGCTGTGGTACGACAGTGTGGTGAGGAGCGGGCAGCTCACGTGGCAGGACGAACTCAACCAGCACAACCGGTGAGGGTGGCCCTCTGGGCGGAGCGGGCGGGGGCAGGGTCGGAGACACTGGCCACCGGCGTGGAGGACCGGCGCGCTGTGCCGAGGGCTGCAGGCCGTGCGCTCCCGGCTGGGCCCCTGCTGTGCGGAGCAGGCTGCGGTCCCGTCCTGAAGGCAGCCCGTCTGGGGGTTAGGATGGAGGCGAGCGGCGCAAGGGGAAGGAGGACGACGTCCAGGGTGGGTGGCCCCCCCAGGCCCCTGCGTCCGGGCCTCATGGCCTGTCCTCGCTGCCTCGTAGGATCTTCTTCGACTCCTGTGACGGCTTCTTCACCAACTATAACTGGCGGGAGGAGCACCTGGAGCGGATGCTGGGGCAGGCGGGGGAGCGCCGAGCCGACGTGTACGTGGGAGTGGACGTGTTTGCCCGGGGCAACGTCGTGGGAGGCCAGTTCAACACGTACAAGGTGGGCGGCAGGCCGGGAGCTGGGGGCGGTGGCCTGCGTGCCTTCCGTGGCTTGGTTTTCTCAGGGACCTTCCATTCCCATCTGCACTCAAGGGAAAGAGAGGCAACATTCTTCTCAGAGCGGAGAAGTTGAGGCCCGAGACACATGGGTGATGCCCCAAGGCCGGGCTGTGCCCTGAAACCCTAACTTCCAGCCCATTGCTGCAATCAGGCGCTGCAGGGTGCCGAGTGGGCGGTTTAAAGCATCGGGTGGGCTTGGGGAGCTCTGGCAGTGCATCTGTTCCCAGGCCGCTCAGGGCTAAGGACCTGGTAAAACAGCCAGTTTGGGGAATTGCTGGTTTAATAGTGAGTGAGATTTTTTCTGGCAAGGAAAGGCAAGTCATGTCGGCCGTGAGGAGAGACAGGGGCTTGCCGGGGCTGATGCACCTGGTGCAGGATAAGTAGGGAGTCTGCTCGTCTCCTGGGCCGTCAGCCCTGCCCCTTCCCCAGTGCCACGGGGATGCTCTTGCTCATTAATTAAGCTCTAAGTGAATAAATTAATCCAATAACTGAAGATTCTCTCCACCCGCTGTGAGTCTGATAACGTGATGAGAGGTACAGCGAGGGAGAGGCCCGTGCAGGCTGTGAGCCCCGCCCCACAAGCCCCTGGCCCGCTCACAGCCTTTCTTCCCACGGCTACGTGCTGAGGGGCTACTGGGGTTGAAGCTGCCCTCGGAGCTGGGAGGGAGGCCTCGGCAGCCAGGCTCTGCGTTCCCCCCCTGACTGCTGTCTCCCCAGTCGCTGGAGTTGATCCGGAAGCACGGATTCTCGGCAGCCCTCTTCGCCCCTGGCTGGGTGTACGAGTGTTTGGAGAAGAAGGATTTCTTCCAGAACCAGGACAAGTGAGTCCTGCCCCTTCCAGGCAGGGGCTTGGTGTTGGCCGGATGGGGGCTCTGGCAATTTCTCTGGTTTCCCAAGGTAGTTCAGGCCTTGCTCTCCGCGGACCTTTCCGGGGCACATAGGGCGGGGATGAGGGGCTCAGCTTGAGAGAAGCCAGCCATCTTGGCTGCCTCCAGGTGGGAGGGCCCCAGCGACCTGTTAAACGGGAAGGACGGAGGTTGGGGACCCCGGGGGACTACCCCCGCAGACCTGCATCTCCCACACATTCAGTGGGGTAGCTGCGCTCACTCTGGGAGGGATGCAGGGGCCTCAAGTTGCAAAGTGTGAGTTCGGGATCCCCCTGCCCATTTTCCTGCAGGTTCTGGGCTTTGCTGGAACACTTCCTGCCCACACACAGCATCTGTTCTTTGCCCTTTGTCACTTCTTTCTGCCTGGGCATGGGGACGCGGAGAGTGTGCTACGGCCAGGTGCGTGGGCTTCCCGGTGGGGCTGCATCACGGCACACGGGCTGCCCTCCCTCTCGGTCTTTGGTCTCACCTGGGAGAGGCGGGGGGTTGGGGTGTGGGAGGGATGGAGGCCGCACTGCTCCCCTGACCCCTGGCGCTCCCCAGCCCTCCCTCGTGTGACCTTGTCCTCCAGGAGGAGGTGGTTGGTCCCTGGTACCACCCAAGTGCCCAGGAAATCCAGCCGCTGTTTGCAGAGCACAGTTTGGAAGGGGCCGGGCGGGGCTGGGTGAAGACGCACTGCTGCCTGGCGGACGCCTGGAACGGGGGCAGCTCCCTGCTTGTCCGCGGGCTGATTCCGCCCGACGTCGGACATGTGGCCGTGAGGTAGGGGAATGAGTGGGGAAGCTATCTGTGGGATCGTCCGCTTCCCCCTCGCCCTGTCCATCCCTCACAGGCGGGCAGCAGCGGCCGGGAGGACGGAGGACAGAACCGAGGGGGTTCTGGTGAAAAGCACATAACCTACAATTTACCGTCTTCAGCATTTTTGAGCCTGTGGTACAGTAGCATTAACTATCTGCCCGTCATTGTGCCACCGGTTTCCAGAACGTTCTCCCCTGTCCCACAGAACAGCTCCCATCCCCCCCCGCCCCAGCCACCACACTCAGCTGTTTCGGTGGGTCCAACGACTTCTGATACCTCTTATAAGCGGAGTCCTGTAGAATTTACCGACCGAGACTTTTCAGTCGTGGGAGGGTCGCAGGCGGGACCAGAGTGCGCCCCCCCCCCCCCGAAGCCCCGTGCTGCTGGACGCCCTGTTCCTGGCGGGCGAGCTTGGCGGGTATGACCCGGAACCCGCGGGGCTTCTCAGCAGCTTCTGTGTGGCCGCTCATCCCAGGCCCTCCTCCGGCAGGTTATTCTCTCTGCAGGTCCCCGTGCCTCCCAAGATTTTCCTGTCCTTGGTATATAAGCTAGAAGGGCCTTCGGGTGTTGAGGTGGCGTTGGAGCTCACCACAGGGGACCCGGGCAGCTGCCACGTTGGTGGCATCCGGACACTGAATGGTGAGGGGGTAGGGCTCCGGCCTCCTGCAGGTGCCCTCTGTTTCAGGGGACGCCCCAGGGAAGAGGAGTCTAGAAGGTGCACCGGGCTCGGGGGGAGCTGGGGGGCGGGCAGAGGACAGGGACTATCCTCCGTGCTGCTGTGGGCCAGGCCCGGACAGCGAGACCCACCCGCCAGCTGAAGCCTCTGGCCCTCAGCCCCCACCGGGCAGCACGGTGTGCTGTGGGGACCGGGTCCCCGTGCCGCAGAGACTTGGGGAAATGCCGCCTGCCAGCCACGGCATTGAGAGGGGGACATCTGTGGGGGCCTGGGGGGCTCTCTGCCTGTTCTCCCAGCCCACCCCCCTCCCCACAAGGCCTCAGCCTGTGTGGCCAGGCCATGAGTGCCTGGCGCAGCAGGGAGTCTAATGGCCTTCGGGGCTTCCCCCCACCTCCCCCCCGCACCCCGTTCAGTGGACACCTCCCTGTGTGGTTTCCTTTGGACTGTGCATTCTCAAGTCCCGGGTCTCCTCCCCCAGCAGGAACAAGCTCCAGGCACAGTCCTCGACCCCTCCGGGTGCCCCCCACCAAGCTGGCCAGATGGGTGGACCGCTGTGGCCAGCAGCTCCCGGGGGGGTGGGTCCAGCGGTGAGTGCCTTTTCTCCTGGGGGGGTCTCCAGCAGGGGATGGCCACGTGGAGGGGTGGGGGCTTGAGTGAGGGGTCTTGGGTGAGAAGCCCCAGAACTGGAGGGATTGGAGGGGCCCTGGCCGACCCCCGTAGGATTCAGGCAGCCCCGGGGGGGAGGGGGGCACAGACCCAGGAGGCCGCTGGCAGCGGTCATGGCCATGCCTTAGGTCCGGGGTTTCCCACCAGCCACAGGGTCCACTTTGGGGTGGACCTCCTCTCCCGCCACGGCTCGGGGCCTCTGAGCAGCCAGCCTCGAAGGTGCCAAGCGGAGGTGGGCTCCTTGTGACCAGCCCTCGTTGCCTCCCCTGTAGCTGCTACGAGGTGAGCCTGCGGGGCTGCCTCCTGCAAGACCTCTTCGTTAGCTTCGCGCGGCCTCCTGGCAGCCCAGAGGAGGCGAGCTTTGTCTGCCGTCTCGGGGAGATCCAGGTGAGGCGTCTGGGCACGGGGGGGCGGGCAGAGTGTTCCCTCTGCTCAGAGGGCCAGTGGGGTGGGGGTGCCGGGGAGCGGGACCGTGCGGGGGCAGGCACCCCGGGCCTCCTGTGGGCTCTGGGACCGTGGCGAGCCTTCTTTCTTCTGCCAGGTGGTGGACGCCAATAGCCTGCTCGCCCCTCTGCCCCAGGTGCAGGCCGTCACTGTGTCCCGCGTGCGCTGGCAGCGGGCCACGTCCGAGGAGGAGGGCCCCCCTGCCCCGCTGCGGCTCAGCTGCACTCTGCACTGGTCCCACCTCCTCTCTGCCGTCCGATGCTTCCGGATCCGCTGCCGCACGGGGACTGGTGGTGGCTCTCCTGGCGGGGGGCCACCGGGGCCGGAGAAGCCCACGCTCCTGGGCCTGGCCTTTGTCAACCAGTATCGGATAGCGGAGCTGCAGGTGGCGGCCGTGGGGCCCAGCGGGGACGGGCGTGTGGAGTTCCTGGTGGAGCCCGTCCCCAAGGAGGGGTTTCTGGTGCCGCAGGCTGAGTGGGGCAGGGCGGCCCTGGTCTACTCCGTGCCCCGCACCTGAGCCAGCATTAAAGCATGGCATCTCCCCGCCTCGAGGCTCAGGCTGCTTCTGCGCTGGGGCCCCACGTGGTGTGCGGAAGCCCATAGGCGCCAGGAGCCCACGGGCTGGGGCTGTTGTGTGGTGGAGGCCGGTAACAGGAAAACCAAGAAGTCCCTTTGCTGGGTTGATAATTTCCTGAGGTTAATGAACTCTGTTCTGCCTAATCCCTGTCCGGAGTATAGATTCTCAGGTACGAGTGACAGGATTTGGGAAAGCTAGTCCCATAAGCTCCACGAAGGGTGTTTCCTAATAGGCCGAGAGACGCTGATGCTCAACAGGCTTAAAGGGGACAGGAAGCCTCTGAACAGGCCCTGGGGGCGATTCCCAGGCTGAGGGCAGAGGGTGGTGGGGGGCTGCAGGGCGCTGGGACGTGGTGCCTTGGGGGCTGGGAGCCAGGGTGCACCTCCCCCCAGGCCAGGTGGGCCGCCCTAGTCCAGCCCTTCCCGTGTCGTGGCTGTCCCAGTCTCCTGTCCCGCAAGCGGGGGCCGTTTGTGGAGCCTTCCCGTCGGCCCCGTGCCCTGCTGAGTCTCTTCTGGGCTGTCGGTACTGGAGAAGCTTGCATGGAGCCAGACTGTGAGCCTCTGCCTCTGCCTGCTGAGCGGGGCTGCCCAGGCTTGGGGAGCAGGAGGCCGGCCAGGGCCCCGGGAGGCCCCCGGCTGCAGCCCGGCCCAGCCTTGCCGCGGGAGCTCTGGCCAGCGTTCCTTCACGTCCTCCCGCCTCAGCCTCTCCCGGGGCGGGGGGCTAAGGCCCCTGAGTGCCAGCAGAGGTGCTCTGAGGACCCTCTCCACTGGGCCCCCTTCCTCTCTTGCCTCCCTCTCTGTTGTCTAGCACCTTCCTTCCCTCTGCCTGTGCTGAGGCTGGCCGGAGGCTCTGCGCAGGGAGGAGGGGAGGGGGTGAGTGAGCCGGAGACGGCTCCTCCCGCCACACAGCTCCCCTGTTGACCCCTGGGCCACCGTGCTGGCCTCCTGGGGGTGGGCTCTCTGCACTCCGCAGCCTTGGGTATCTGCCGTGTTGCCCAGCTCCTTTCCTGGGCCTGAGCCGTGTCCCTCGTTCTGGGGGGTCTCTTACCCCCGGGTCTCGTAGGGCCATCGATGGGGGCCACTTGCCCATTTCTCTGCCCTCCACCTGTGCTAGGTGATGTGGAGTGTTGCCAAGGGCCAAGACACTCTCAGCTGGGGGTCCCACCTATGGCCTCGGGTGCAAGCCCCGGCCACGGACTTGGTTGTACGCTGTAGGGAGGGGAGAGGCCACCAGGTGGCAGTGCAGCCACACCACCACTGGCTGGCTGTCCAGAATTCGGGAATCAGAGTGCGGTCAGGTGGCCTGGGAAAACCCGGCCTGCAGGACAGCAAGGGGCGTGTCCCTCCAGGGCTGCCTCCGTCTCCATCCCCCTGGCCCGAGTGGCTCTTTCACAGGGGGACAGAGGGACATTTTACTCTCCGTGTCCCGCACGTGGCCTAGCCAGCTGGCTCCCCAGTGGGGAATGCTTTTGCCCAGCAGAGGGGGGATAGCTTAAGCAGGAGAGGAGGACGCCTCTGCTGCCTAGCCGGGAAGCGCAGGTCACCCGGCACCCTGACTGTCCCCGAGAACCTGGACGGCTCAGTAGACTGGGGTGGGGGGGGGCACCTGAGTCGCTGCCGCTTGGAGCTGTTCCCTCATCGTGTTCTCGGTTTGGACCGTTGGTTTGCTTTGAGCGTCCTGTTTTGTACCCGGGGATCAGGCCTTGCTCCCTGTGTCCCCAGAGGCGGGAGTCGGGCGGGGCAGGGTGCCCTGAAGTGGGCTGCTCTCCATTCCCGAAGCCTGTTGGCTTTAAGTGTCTGTGCCCCCAGTTTATGTAGAGAAGGAGGGAAAAATTTATAAGTGGTAATTATTTTCTTACAGTCTGGTGAACAGGCGATGAGAGGTGAGGGGCTTAGCAGAGCATGGCGTGCGGCGGGGCCACCCACCCCCAGCTCCCCGAGAGCACCGTCCCCGTCCCACGGAGAGTAGAGGCTCGTGGGCAGGAAGATGAGTATGTTGGCATTTAAGCCTGCACCCCTCTGGTGGGTGTAATCGCTCTGAAATAAATGGGGCGACGTGAAACATGAAGAGCTCGAGTTGGTGAGCGGCGCTGTGGATGTGGTCTGGGCCCAGCCCCTCCAAGCCCAGGGCTTTGAATCTCTTGGCTTGACTTCGGCTTTCCTTCCCAGTTCCGCTCCCTCCTCCGAGGGGCTGGTGGGGGGGGGGGGTGGCTGCCCACCACCGCGGCCTTGCAGGGATGGGGACCCGCGCCCGTGGGCTTACCTTGAAGCAGCCCCCCCACTCCCGCAAGGAACCAGGGCTCCACCCGACCCACATCACAGGGGCAGTGCCCGGGTGTGGCTGGGATCTGAGGGCCCTCCCCGGGACATCCCCAGCCCTGTCCCCTCTCCTGCCTGCACCCGGCAGGGCATAGCTGCTGGGCAGCACAATGACGTGAGGCCCGGCGGGCATCTGTGTGCAGTAGCCGCTGCTCAGCTGGGAAGGGGCCAGGGCGGTTGTCCACCCTGGAAGCCGCTGTGAACTTCACAAGCCTTAGTGCCGCGCGGGGCAGGGCGAGGTGGCTTGTTTTCGGTCGGGGTGGGGAAAGGAGTCTGGAGGATTGGGGCTGGCATCTCTTGCCCAGAAGGGTCTTCGGACTCCCCACTGGGCACCCCGCAGAAGGCCAGCTGGATCCTGGGACAGGCTGTGGGTCCTGGGCCCACCCTGGCAGGCGCCCGGTGCTGCACCCCGCCCTCCACCCTCAGGGCCCTGGGGGCTGCCAAATCAAAAAGAGTTGTCCTGGTTTGAAGAAAGAAATCTTTATTAATAATCTTAATAATAATACTGTTGATTTGAATGGTCACACCTTGGAAGCATACAGAATGGTAAGAAAGGAAGCCTGGGGCCTGGCTGCAGTCCTGGGGGGGCTGGGAGGGCGGGGCCGGGGGCGGAGCTGCCGCAAGAAAAGGGTCCGGAGCAGCAGGGGGCTCTGGACGGGAGGGGCCGGGCGGGCGGGGCGCTGTACAACAGGAATAGAAAAGGGGCTCATTTCAGGAGCTTCAGGAGCTGATGCTGAATATATAAAGTGAGGTGTGGTTTTTTTTTTTTTTTTTACTTTTTAAATTTCATGAGACAGTGGAGCCGTGTTGGGAGCCTATGTTTTATTTTTTGCTGCTTGTCCTACTCCAGCGATCCCTGCCTGGCGGGGGGCTCCTCCCTGATGCCTACCTCTGCTCTCCCACCACCCCGGCGGGACCTGACTCAGGTCCCGGGCGCCACTCCAGGCCTTTCCCCCCGCTCGCTCTCCCTGCTTCGGCCTGGCCACCCAGCCCCGTGGCACCGTGACTCCCGACCTCACCGTGCAGCCAGGCGCTGGCCCGCCCGGCCCTCTGCAGGAGGCCCTGCAGGTGGCCGGAGGTCGGCCTTCCCTCCCACTGACCAGGCCCAGGCCTGCCTCCAGCAAGGGAACAGGAAATAGGCTGGTCAGGGCCAGAGCGTGTCCTCAGCCCCAAGGCCTCCACCCTCCCAATGCTAGCTCTTAGGTTCACGCTGTGATCCTGGCCAGGCTGCCCGGGAGCCCCCTCACGTGGAGCGAGGGGGGCCTGGGCGCCCCACAGTTCTGGAACTGCGTCAGCCCTTAGTGTTGGGGTCAGACCCCAGGGCTGCTGGTCGGACGGACTCTGGAGGCCTACAGACTCCCTCCCCAGGCTTGCAGAACACGGTGTTGGCGGCATGGCATGAGCGGGAGCTGGGGCCCAGACAGCCGGACACGACGGTGACGGGCACGGGCGGAAGCCAGAGACCCCGGGAATGAACAGCTGCCCCCCCACGCCCACCCCAGCCCAGCTGTCCCCTCCACTGGCACAGTTGGCAGCAAAGGTCAAGTCCTGCTGGCTGTTCTCCCCACTCAGGCCTGTGGCCTGTTCCTCCGCTGGGCCCCGCGCGCCCCGGGAGTGGGGGGCCGGAAAGGAAGACTTGGTAGAGAAGAGGCCCCTTCCCCTCCTGCGCTCCCCGCCGGCCTCGGGAGGGGCACTTCGGCCAGCACGGTGGCCGGGGAGGGGCGAGGGCCCGGGGCTCTCCTGGGCTCGGCGCCCTGCGGACGTGCTCCCTCGCAGTGGAGTGCGGCACCGCGCGCGACCTGGACGTGCTGGATGCTTCTTGGTTTGGTTGTTTTTTTTTTTTGTTGCTTGGATCTTAACATCTTTTTTTGTTTTGTTTTTTGTTTTGTGATTTTTTTTTTGTTTTGTTTTTTGTTTTTGCCCTTCATGGTCCAAGAAGGAAACGGTGGAAGCTTTCACTACAACAGAAACAGAAAGGCAGGACTTGCAGTTTCACCGAAGCAACGGCAGGCGTGTTGTAAGGATGGATGGGGTGCCGGGTGGGGAGGGAGGGTGCCGGGGCCCCGGGCTGCCCTGAAGTCCTAGCCTCCCAACCCCCGCTTCTCCCCCCGCCCCCTGGCCTGTCCCCCAGTCCCAGCTTCCGGGAACCGGTGGTCCTGCGTGAGCTGAACTGAAAGCCGGCCTCCTCCTCTGGGGCAGAACGTGGGGACTGGTGTCGGGGGGGGAGGAAGGGGCAGCAGAAGCAGAAACCACAGGGAAGTGGGCTGGCTGGCGCAGCCTGTAGGCTCTGCTAGAGCTGAGCGGGGCAGGGGCCTGGCTGGCTCTGGGCGGACGAAGACGGGGCATGGTGGATGGACGGCACGGCACAAGCCACGAGGGGCCTGCAACGAGACAGCGAGTAGGCGGTGCTCCCGGGGGTGGGAAGTGAGGGGCCAGCACCGAGGCCGTGATCCGCCCGGTCCAGCAGCTGAGAGCCGGTGTGCCCTGGCTGGTGGGGGACCCACACCCTCTAGCTGGCACCCAAAGCCCAGCTCTGGCACGCTAGGGAATCTGGGCTTCCCCGGCCCGAGAGACCTCCTGCAACGGAGGAGGCAGGGTGCCGTCCTTAGCGGGCAGCCTACCCTATGAGGCTACCTGGGCTGTCTCGGCATTCCCTACAGGACCCCGGCCAGCATGTCCCCCACCCCCCAGGGCCCAGCGCAGCCCCGGGCACCATGCGGCCGACCTAAGCACTAAGCCTCTCCGGACGGGAGGCTGGCATTGACTGCTGTCTCGCCAAGAAGGCCGGCGATGGGCCTCCCCCTTGTGCCTCACCTGCTCACCCCTTCTGAAATGTACCCTGATAAAAGGACGTTTCCAAGCCTGGGGAAGGGGAAGGGTGCCGGGTTGGCCGGGACCCCATCTCGGGCGCTGCTGAGGTGCCATCCTCGGAGCCTGGCTGGAGGGGAGAGCCCACTGCTGGAAGGAGCACGGCGGGCTGGGGGGCCCTCGGCTTTGGTGGGGGTGCGCGGGGGCATTTCTTCCTACACTTTCATTGCTTACAACAGAGGCTACGGAAGGAGCCCTGAGGCCCGTATGGCCGTGGCCGTTTCCGCCTGCACCGTATGCTTGTGACTGCTTCGGCGGGAAGCGTCCTCAAGAAACATGAACCAGAAATGTTAGTTTCAGCTGTTTGGGGGTGAGGAGGGCAGATGCGGCCACACCGGCGATCAGCTGGGGGAAGGCGGAAAGGGGGCATCGTCTCAGCCGGAAACCCCGCGTCCTGTGGACCGGAGCTCCTCCTCACTCCCTGAACCCCAGGGGACGGACAGTGGCTGTGGGGTGTCTTCTGTGGCTCCGTAGCCCCGGGGGATGGGAAGTGGGGGTCGCCCTGGCGGGCTCTATTGCTAGTTCTCGGGGAGAGGTCTTGTGCCCAGGCTAGCCCCTCCCGCTGTGTGCATACCGTACCTGAAATGGCTTGGGGGCACAACGTCAACAAAGTCAAAATAGGAAGCAAGGTTTCAGACATACAGGGGTAACCAGGGTCAAAGACACACACGCCATCGTGAGGGGCAGGGAGACCAGCTGGCTGGAGGTAAACCCTATGGGCTTTGGCGTCGCGTGCCGCTGACTGGGGGGGGCGCACTGTCCTCCTGGTGGCTGTGCCTGGTTTTGGACTGCTGGGTTTGGTGTGTACTGGGCAGTCAGTGTGAATGCTGCTAGGGGCTGGGCCCTCTTGCTAGTAGGGGGTGAAGCGGCTGTACCCTCCTCGGCACAGGCTAGCCTGCAACATCAAAGATGACAAACAGCCAATCAGTACCGCCTTTCGGTAGGGGGGCAAAAGCAAAAAGAAAAAAAGGAAAAAAGAAATCGCTAAATCCCGTTTTTTGCCCCCCCTTATTAAGGTTTGCCTTGGGGAGAGCGGGTGCCGGTTCTCATGGCAACAGGGGGCCCTGGGCCTAGTCCTTCCGTGGTGGGGGCCAGGGGGCTCCTGGGGTCATGGGCCACAGCGCTCCTGGACAATAAGGTTGGAGATGTCTCTTGGCAACTCTCTTGGCTCAGGCCTGGCCCTTCCCCGGCCCCTTTCTCCTTAATGGGGGCAGGGGAGGTCTCAGTGCCCCAGCGGGGCTGCCTGCTGGGGGTGGGGGGGGCAGGACTCAGGAGGGTGGAGGGACCTCTTGCCAGGGTTACACCAGCCCCTCGGAGCTTTAGGGGGCCCCCTAGGGTCCCTGCTCTTTACCCAGGTCCTCGCCTGGGCCCTCCGTCCTGCTGAGGAGGAAAGGTCTTTGGCACTCTTTGCTCCCATGTCCCTGGGCTGCCCTGGATCAGGGAGGTCTCCAGAGGAACCTCCTCCCCACCAACCAATTTCAACAGAAAAAGGAAGAAAAGATGGCAAGTGCCACGGAAAAAAACTTGGAAAAAAAGAAAAAAGAAAATCTTACAAATAAAAATGAGAACATAAGAGGGGCTCCTCTGTGAATGAATGAAAGCTTGTAGCCAGCAGCCGTACAGAGGGCCGAGCGGACCCTGGAGCCAAGGGGCCCACAAACTGCACTTTTGGGGCCCCCATCTGGGTGACTGCAGGCTGCTGGGGATGCCGGAAACTTGTTAAAAATCAAAAAAGTTAAAAATTGGGAGGAAGTAAAACCAAGGGAGAAGGAACAATGAGTCCCTATTGGCTCTGCGCCTCCTCCCTCCTTGCCCCTCACCCCCCCCCCCCGGGGAAAATGTGTTCATCTTTGATGCTGGACGCCACGCTAGCTAAAAACTGACATGAACAGCCCCTGGGGCTGGGGGTGGGTGGGCACAGGAGACAGGTACCCCCTGGAAGCAGGTCTCGGGGTAGAGAGTAAGCTGGGCTGCACGTGTCCGCAGCTGACCATCCACACACATACACACAGACACACCGGCCTGCACACCTCTGGCTGCCGCAGGCCCACCAGGAGAGCGTGCGGGCTGGGGAGCGCGGGCCACAGGGCCGCAGAGGGGCCTCGTCCCGCTCCCTGACGTGAGGAAAAGGGGCGACGGGACACAGAGGGACCGCGGCAGACACAGCTCCACGAGCGGCGCGGAGGCCCTGCTGGCCTCTGGAGCCTCGGAAAACTGGGCAAAGCGGGCGTCCCAGGGTGCTCCCCAGAGGGCCAGACGTCCTTACTGGGCAGCTGCCCGCTGGGCGCACCTGCCTCCCTCAAAGTCCCCGAGGGCACCAGGGGGCAAGTCCTTCCCCAAACTGCCATCTAGGCCTTGGCCCCTCCGGGCACTGGTCAGAGGTCTGGGCCACTCTCCTCCCCCCCAGCCCATCCTGGCTGTGGCGCCAGGCCCTCCTCGTCACAGCTGGTGCCCAGGGCCAGGCCGCCCTGCCTCCTTACCATGGTTCCGATGCTGTAGGTCGCTGCAGGGCCGATGGTGTGGTGGTAGGGGTCAGCAGCTGCATAGACTCTGCCGTAACTGGGGAGACAGCACAGGGAGGGAGGGAGGCGTGGGGGGAGGGCGATGGGGGCAGGTGAGGGGCCGCAACAGCTCTCCCGCCTCCTCCCAGACAGTTGGTGAGCGTCCTCCAGGGTGGTCCCGCCTGCCAGCACCCCCCCACCCCCCCTCCTCCCCATCTTTTCTGCCCATTTGGAAGGAAGGGTCCGGAACACAGCCGGCCACCCTCTCAATTCTCCCAGTATCTGCTGACCCTGACAAGGGGCCACACGGAAGAAAGAAGGCGTGCCCACAGAGCTGCTCTGGAGGGAGGAAAACCTCGACCCCCTGGAAGAACAAGGGCAGAGTGCTGCAGAAAGGCTCAGAGCAGGATGGGAGGCTGTGGGGGCAGGCAGGGAGGTCACCACGAAGGAAGTGGCCCTGCGTCCCCTCACTCCACTTATTGTGTGTGTGGAATGCCAGCTTCTTGTAGGACAGGGCTGGGCCTGCTGTGCACCCCACAAACCCCACTCCCCCCCAACACGTGCGACGGCAGGGGTCTGAGGGTGCCGCTGGGCGGGAGGGAGCCAGAGCCCACGTGCCAGGCACAGGGACTCCTACACGTCCCTAAGCAGGGGCTCTGTGCCCATGTGCCAGGCCAGGCCATGCCACCCCTGGGGGGAGCCCCGGGGACCTGCCCTCACGACCCAGAGCCACCCGCCATCCTCTGCGTGTGCTTGAAGCTGGGCAGGAGGTTGGCTGCTCTCCAACGGCCACACTGCCCGCCTGGTGTCCTCAGACCCCCCCACCAGGAGGGTGCGCTCACAGCCACTCCTCAGCGTGAAGGGGTCTCAGACCTGGGAGCCCTGAGCGGGGTCCGAGGGGCGCCTGGGGGCAGAAGCAGAGCCTCTGAACTCCCCTGCTCACCCGGGGCCTCCAGCGCTCAGGGAAGGGGCTCAGGCCTCCTGCGCTGGGAATCAGAGGAGAACTGAACGGTGGGGGGTGGCAGGGCCTCTCCCAGCCATGCCAGCAGGAAGTGACTAAAGAAATCGGGGGCTCGCTGGCTCAGCGCCCTCTGTCCAGACCCTGCGCCACCAGGGGGAGGCTCCCCCAGGCCTGAGCCGTGGGTGAGTCTTCCCGTCTATCTGAGCCCACCCCTCCAGGGGCCTGTTGTCCTACTGTCCCTCTTCACCCCAACTACTGTCCCAGCCATACCTGTCGCTGTAGGCTGCCGCGGCTGCCGCAGGCTGAGCGTATCTGTAGGCTGCATAGCCCCCCTGCAGGGAAAGGGGGAGGGAGAGACAGCACAGGGGCTTAGTGGGGCTGACGCAGCCTTTCAACCTTTACCGTGGCCGGGGTGAGCACTGGCTGGCGCAGGCCTGGGGGCACGTAGCTTCTGGTCTAACAGAGGCCTAAGGACTGCAGACGGTCAGTGGCATGGTTCGAGGGGAGGCAGGGAGCACACATTCAAGTCCCATCCGTGGGCACCGATGATAACGTCTGGCTGTGCTCATGGCTTTGGCACATGATCAGTGCCCACAGACCTGCCAGCAGCCCAGTGAGCCCCTGACTTTGATGCCAGTGGGTGCCAAGAACCCATAGGTGACTCTGGGGGCCATCCTGGATACTGGGAACGGTCAAGGGCAAACTCAGATCATGTCTTGGCCCTGGCACAAAGGGACTGTTGAATTATGGGCAACTGCCCAGGACGGAAGCAAGGTCTCACGTTGGGCTGGGTATGTGTGTGAGGTGGGGTTGGCAGCTGGGGCTCAGGGCTAGAGAAAGCAGTAGGGGCAGCCCCGTGAAGGGAGAGAGATGCCACAGGACCTCACCACGGGGTCCACCCTGGAGCCCCTGTCTCCTGGTCTCTCTCTGGGCCTCTGTACTAGATATGGGTGCCCAAGGGGGCTCACTCAGTGACCCCAATGTGATTAGGGGTACAGGAGAGTCGCCTCTCCTGCCCCCATCACCCAGCGTCCTGTGGACTGGAGAAGACGTGGCCACAGACAGCCCAGGCTCAGCTATGCCAAGGTCCCCAAGGACCCAGTGTCCTAGGCACGCTCACCCTCCCAGGTCCCAAGGATAGGGAGGGATGGGTGAGGAAGGGGGGCCTGGAAATCAGCTGAAGTCCTGGACCACACCCACCTCCCCGCCAGGGGGCTGCACTTACATAAATCTCAGCACCATAAAAGCCATCCTGATACACGACCCTGGAAGCAAACGGACAAGAGAGTGGTGGGAACGCTGGAGAGGTGGGGTAGGCCGGCTCCGGTGTCTGCTGAGGAGGGAGGGGGCAGGGTGCCAGCCCTGCCCATGGGACTGGCATTTTAACAAGCGTTTGCTCCAGCGCCCTGTTTTGGTATAACAATAGAGTAACACCCTTGCTGGTCAGCTCCTTTCTCCCACAAAGCCAGGGGCCCCTCGGCCCATGGTGCTTACCCTCCCCCCGCCCCAGCCCAGGCAGCTGTCCCCCCCATAGGGGCGGAGGGCACTGGGCCCAGGGTAATGGACCAGGGAGGGCTTAGAGCAGGCCCTCACCGAGCTTAAGGGCCAACCATAATCCCATTAAATCATCCAGCAAGGTGCTGGGGCTCTAAATGTCCCCCAAATGCCAGTGACCCTTGGTGCCCATGGCAGGGTGGGGCTGGGGTACGATATGGGGGCAACTGCAGTGCGAAGGTCTGGGGGTTCCCACAGCCCCCCGCAGTTCTGGAAAAGCTGCCTAGCCCTTCTGGCTGCCCGAGGCCTCCCTCCCCACATCCCCTGGGCCTTTCTCCATGCCTCCCTCCCCGTGCCTCCCCAGGTACTCACGCTCCGTAAGTTGGGATGGGGGGCGGGGGCGGCGCAGCCCGAAACGTATTATACACGGCCCGGCCCCGACCCCGTAGGTGCGCGCCCCTGTAGGCAACGGCTGTGCCCGTGGTGGGGTAGGGGAACCCCGTCACTGCAGGAAAGGGGGCCGGAGAAGAGGCGGTGAGAGGGAAGGCCCAGAGAGGGCGAGGGTAGGCCCAAGGGCCCGGCCTGGGGGCAGACACACCTGGCCCCGCCCAACCACACCTGCATGACCACGCCCCCGCCCGGCCACACCCACCTGCCTACGCGCAGACCACGCCTCCCTCCTGACCACGCCCTCTGGCCGCACCGCCCACCCGCCCGGCCCTTCACACCCAGAATGAGGGCTCCAGCCTGTACCTGCATAGAATTCAGGCCCGTAGACTGCGCCTACCACGGGATTTAGCTTCCAGCCTAGAAGAGAAGCAAAAAACCCCAATCACCGTCTTCCCCATTCTCTCCCCACCTCACACTATCCTGGGGCGTCCCACGTAAGGCGGGGCCTCTGTAGACTGCTGGCCGGACCGCCTCCCTTTGCAGGGAGGGTGAGCAGAGGAGACCCCGGCCCCACTCGGGATGCTGCAGCCTCACCGGGTCTGACCTTCTGCTCCCTAAATGCCAGGGACCAAGTCACTCCTGACCCGTCTGCCTGGCTGTCTTTGTGATTCATTTCAAACGGCGGCCCTCCCCAGCCTGCCCGGGGCCCCAGCCCAGCAGCTTGGAGTCTGCAGTCTCCGCCGGAATTAGGAAGGGACATCTGCAGGCCCACAGCCGGGATGAGGGGTCTGGCGGCGCCCCTGCTTCAGCACATGACAGAGCCCAGGCATCGGAAAGCTGTCCCCGGTGGGGGCCTGGCTGCCTTCCAGCCGCGTGGGAGGCTGCCGTGAGGGGCGGGGCTTCTGCCGCAGACCCCTCCCACCTCCTGCCCCACAGCTTCGGTCCTGGGGTGGAGCTCTTTCCCCACTGCCCAGTCCTGCCCTGGCCATCCCCAGAGCAGCCAATGGAATGGCTTCCTGGGAAGGAAAGGGCCTTGGGATTCGAGGTAATAATGACATTTCCTGAGCATCTCACCATGTGCCACGCTGTTCTAAACCCAGCCAATGAGGTGGGTGTCACACCCTACCGTTTTCCAGATGAGCAAGTGGAGGCTCAGGGAGGTGCAGCAGCCTCACAGCCCAGAGCGGGCAAGTGGCAGAGCCAGATCCAAACCAAACCCACATTCCTGGCCATTCCCTGGCCCCTAGCTGTTGGCACCCGCCGCCTCTCCCTCTTTGCAGGTGGGCCGGCTCAGGCCGCTGGCTCAGGGCCCTCCGCTTCTGGGCCAGTCTTCCTCTCCCACCAGGGACCCAGGTGCAGGAGTGAAGCCTGCTTCCATCTGAGGCCCCTGGGGATGGACACCAGCTGGCTTTGAGGGGGCTCTGACCCCAGGCGCTAGCTCAGATGGAATGGGCTCGGAGTGGTATATTGGACCAAGCCCAGCCCCCTCAGTGTACCTGGTCTTATGTTTGCAGGATGCCCTGAAGGCCCAGCTCCATATCTCTCTTGACTTTGTGAGGAGGGACAAAAGGGACTGAGCCCACTGGCCAGCTAGTAAGACACCTCTGGAGAGCACGGCAAAGGGCCAGACCAGGCCATTAGCGTCAGACTCTACCTGTGGGCCTCATACCCAGATTCTAACATCCCCACTGCTGGGTGGGTGGCCGGAAGGCATTCAGGATAGAGTGTCGGCAACCGTGTTCTTCCTGGGGGCCCATGCTCCACTTTCCATGAGACTGTGGTCACCTTCCCTCCCCTTCCAACATCACCTGACCAGTGTGGCTGTGTCTGAACATTCATGCTGAGACTCTGGAACCTTCTCTGAATCCCAGATCAGGAGGGAAGAAATGTTTCATCGCCTAAAAAGAACACCAGTCCCAGGAACGTAGTCTTCTTAGTAAACACCCATGACGGAGCAGTGTCCTAGAGCAATGACCCGAGCCCACCTCCCCTGGGCCCCAACCCAGTGGCTTTTCTGAGTCCATTCTTCGAGCTGGGACTTCTCTTGAGATGGTCCTGGCACATCCACCTGCCGATTACTGGAATCCTGGGCGTCTTTATCTGTCACTCTGGCTTCCTGGTGCCTCTACCCATTGCTGCCAGTCCCATTTCACTGTGTGGGACCCCAGGTGACAGGCAGCTGGAGGCTGGGTGTCTCCTTTGTTTCTTCTGTAAATAGTCTTAACACCCGGTCAAACCTGGTGAGCTTGACGGTGGATATTTCTGCCCCTCTCCCCCCGCAACCAATGAATTTCTGAGTGCTCTGGAGTGTTCTAGAGTCTTCAAGCCACACTCCCAGGCCACCAGAGCCCGCATGCTGCACTTCACTGTCAGCCCACAGAGAACCTGGGGCCAGCCCACTGCGGCCCTTGTCCTTCTTGCTCAGGCCAGTGAGGACGCTTCGGTGAGACTGTTGCTGTGAGCCCTCGGCTGATCCTTGTGCGAGCAGTGCTGGTTCTGTGCCCATCCTGGGCCAGGAACGCAGTGGTTCAGACGTGGACTCCGTTCTGAATTCCATGCTTCCTGACGTTCTCAGGCCTGGCCAGACAGCAGGGGGTGTGGCTCTTGGGTGAAGTGGGCATCTGGCTCCTGATGATCGTCCTGACCCTCCAAACATGTCTGTCTACCACTTTGCCTTTCAGTGCCAAGCACTCAACGGGAGTTCAGGACACTGGCAAAGTCAGGCACCCCCAGATTTTTAGGAAAACTTTGAGCTTTCATAGTCCTCAGGAAAGCAGGATGGGAGGCATAATAATCCAGCCTAAACGTGGCTCAGCCAGACCCCTGTCCTGCTCCAGGAGGGTACAGGGGGAGGCCCTGCTGGTGGGTCCCGTGGCAGATCCCCCCCAATGTCCTGCCCCTTGCCGGCCTGTCACCTGAGTCCCTGTGTGGCCGATCACACAGGGACAGGAAGGCTGGGGGGTGAGAAGCCAAGCCCCCGCCCTGCAGGGAGACTGATCCTTACTGTGAGCAGGGCTGCCATTCCCTGGGACGGGGACGAACTCAAAGGGGCCCCAGGGCGTTGCCGGCTACACGCAAACCCCTCCGCGTTGCCGGGTGGAGTCAAGACACGCAGCCGAGGGCCACCCCTCCACTCGGCCTCCGGGGTTCTGTCTTCAAGGAGGACCGGCTTCTGCTTGGGTCCGGCGCATGCATGTGAGACCACTCAGCTGAAGCACATGATGGACGGCAAGGCTCCCGTGGGGGCCTCAACCTTCCAGTGTCTCCACAGTGGGGGTGGGGAACTCTCCTAATCACCCTCACTTTCACTGAAGATTGAGTACCTCTAGCCCAGGCGCTCCCTCACTGCTTAGAAACTAAGGAATAATCCAGGAAGTGGCCACACCCACTGTGCCCGAAGCCCGTCCACGTGGTTTCTGGGCGCCCTGTGTGCTTGGGAAGGCCCAGGCGTCTTGCCAACTGTGTGGGTGGGGTGGGCGGCCCCAGCCCTCCTGCTGAGCCAGCGGAGCTGGGACATGAGGGGGCACTTGGCCTCCAGGGCGGTGGGCCTCTAGCGGCTGAGGCTCCTCCAGGGCCCGTGTCCGTGCTGCCCGCCCCTGTGGCCTCCCCGAGGTCCTGGGCGCCTTACCGTTAGTGTAGGGGTTCGCAGTCTTCTTGTTGGTCATGACACGGGCTGTGGCATTATTGACCTGCCCGGAGAGAAGGAGGGAGAAGGTGAAGGTGAGGGGAGTGTTAGCCTCCCTGCAGGCGTCTGACCACCCTGGTCCTGCTCTGCACTGTTCCTGCATAGCCACGTGGAGGGGGCTGGGGGCTGGGAGGAAGGCCCAGGACAGTCTCTGCTGCCCGCCTGGCCCCCCACCCTGGCCTGCCCTCCTCCCAGGCCGCCCCTCTCCACTGTGCTGCCCCCCCACTCCAGGGAGCCTTGGCCACCACTGCTCCCAGCCCTCGGCTCAGGCGCCATGTCCGGCCCGCTGGTTCTTGCCCTTCACGTGCTGCTCCCACAAACCAAGCCCCAGTCTCTCTCTGGCAACCCCAGGCCACTGGAGAAGCTAGCTGGTGGACTCTCCACAAAGTGCTCTCAGCCCAACTGACAGACCGGCCCCCAAGACATTCTGTGCCCTTGTTGGCTGCTGAGGCCTTCCCAGGCATGGGCACCCCTCTCATGGGGGTGGCATGCCATTCCCGAGGCCAGCAGAGAGCTCCTGATGGGACCCCTCAGGAGCAAGGCTGATGGGAGAGGGGGTGGGTGGGCGCCAAGGGGGTGGGTCCTATCTCAGATACCTAAGACCCTCCCCCTGGAGGGCCAGGCTGGGGTGTAGAAAGGCAGTGGGGGAAGGCCTGTGTGGAAGGAAGTAGAGAACAGGGCAGGCGGTGGAACCCGAGAAAGGAGTCGGGGTCATTCTGCCTCTCCCACATGCAGTGTGAACCCCTGGACCTCAGGTTGCATCCTCAGGTGCCCACTGGGCATGAACCACTGGCCGAGGTCAGGGCCTCCAGGACCCCTTCTGCTTCTGGAAGCCCTCCCCCCCAGGCCTTTCCACTTGTCTTCTGCACTTGCTGCAGACCCCCTCCCCTCTCTGGCCACCCCTCACTGCCCTGCTTGTCCAGGAGCCCAGCTCCCAGATACCTAGAGCCGCCGCACTGGGGCGGGGGGCATGGGTAGCCTACCAGAAAAGGGGCCCGGGGGGTTGAGAGGGGGCCCCTGACCTCCTCTCTCTGCTGCTCCTCGGGGCTAGGTCCCTTCCTGGCAGCTGGGGAGGGGAGGACAGGGGGCAGCTGCCGCTCCCTGGTGGGAGGGGTCTGGGGGATTAACAGCACCTCCCAGCTGGGGGACAGACTGAGCTGGCTGTGGTCCTTGGAGCTGCCAAGCCTCAAACACATGACTTTTGGGGCTCCTCCCAGGGTCTAGCTGATTCCCAGATTTGGGGAGCCTCCTCCAGAAAGCAGAGGGAGGGGGCCCTTGGGTGGGCCCAGGAGGGGTGGCAGGAGATGGGTCTGGGCTCTGGCCTTGGCGGGGCCCTGCCCTCCCCGCCCTGCCGCCCTGCTCCGGGGACCCTGGCCCGGCTCTCCGCAGGGGGGCCGAGGGGTGGGGAGGGGGACCTGGGCGACAGCGGCGGTTCTCAAGGGCACGCCCTGCGCAGCACACTTATCTGAGCACCTCAATTTTCCGTCCCTCTACGATCGTCCCATTCAGCTTCTCCCGGGCTCGGTCAGCATCTGAGCTAGTTTCAAAAGTTACAAACCCAAAACCCTGTGAGCGGAGAAGGACAGACACGGAGAGAGAGGATGAGAGGAAGGAAAACATAGGAGGAGTGGGGGGGGGACAGTGGGGGGGGAGAGAAGGGTGGGGGGAGAGAGAAAGAGAGAGGGACTGAGTCAGGTGAGTTGAAGGAGAGGTCGGCAGCCCAGAGGCCTGCCCTGGTGCCACCAGCAGGATGCCCAGGAAGGGGAGGGCCCCAGGCGGTGGCAGCTGCTGGCCTGGCCCGAGCCCGGCCTGAGCTGACCGCCTGGCACCTCCCAGAGGACAGGCCAAGGCTCCAGGAGAGATGTTAACCCGGCCAAGGGGCCAGGACTGTCACCCTGATGCCCCCTGGGGGGCAAGGGGGGCGGGGGGGGTCAGGACCTCCTGGGGACAGCCCCACCCCCCTTCCCCCCCAGGAGCCTGCATGGGGGTCTTCCCTTGCCTGAGCAGGGAGCAGGGCTGGTGTTTGCCGGGCCCCCTCCCGCGGCCCACCCTGCAGCCGCGCCCCCGAGCCTCGAGCCTCGGGGCCAGCTCTCGGGCAGGCCAGCAGGGGGCGCCCCCCGGAGGGGCGGCTCGGCGGGTGGGGCCCGGGCCCGGGCGCTGACAGAGAGGTCCGGGCAGCTTGGAGAGAAAGGAGCGCAGCAGCTGCGGCACCAACACAGACGGCGGGGGCGGGGGCGGGAGGGGCGGAGGAGCGGGGAGTACAAGCACCCGTGTAGCTCAGGGGTCCTCGGGCGCGAAGCTCTCCAGGAAGGAAACGCACATTTCACACGTTAGCCTGGCGGGACCTACAGCCGGCGCTGTAATGGTGGCGGCCTCTGGGCGGCACCCACCTTGGAGCCCCGCTCGTTAAAAATGATCTCCACGTCTAAAATTTTTCCGAATTGCTGCAGAGACAGAGAGGGGGGTGGGGAGACAGGGGAGGGTGGGTTAGGAGTGCCGGCCCCCCCCCCCTCCCGGCATGCCTGCTTCCCAGGAGACCCTCACCTGCTGCCCGGTGCCACCCAGCCCTCCGCAGGGAAGAGGAGGGGCTCTTGGTGTGGCAGGGTCTGGGGACAGGAGACCCCTCCCCACGTTCTCATGAAGAGAGCTTTTCTTGCCTGTCTAAGGGCCAAGTGGGGGCTGAGAACCAGGGAAGGGGGCAGCCTCCCCCAGAGTCCCTCTCCTCTCCCTGCCTGGACTCTGCCCCAAGTTACGGAGGATCACCTCTAATACACCCTAAAGGGTAAAGGACTACGGATAGGTTCTTCCCAAACGGTAAGGTACTGGGAGGGGGGCAGGAGCCCCTGGGAGAGATGAAGTGCCGTGGAGGGACCCCATACAGCCAGCAGCCTGTGTTATCCGGGGCTGGGCTGTGTGGGGTGTGGAACAGCACTGACCCCAAACCCCTCTACCTATCTGGGACGTGTTGGCCAGCAGGCCCAGATGCTGTGCCTGGCCCCTTCCTGCCCCATCACTGGCCCAGGACTCCCAAGGGCAGCCCTGGCTCTCTCACTGTCACAGGAGACCATGGACCTGTGAAACCAAATCCCCGCAATCGGGTCCCCAGCGGCCTGTCCTGAGGCCTCCAGTGTGTGTAACTGATGGGTGTCAAAGGGGGCAGTGACATGACATGGAGCAAGACAGCAATGCAATCCCAACTCTGATGAAGGCTGAAACGGGAGGACGGTGCCCTGGTGTGGGGACGGGGGGAGCTGATGCCCTGGTGTGGGGACAGGTGAGCGGACATCCCAGTATGCAGACAGGTGAGCCGACGCCCTGGTGAGGGGACGGGTGAACTGACGCCCCAGTGTGGGGACGGGTGAGCTGACATCCCAGTATGCAGACAGGTGAACTGACGCCCCGGTGTGGGGATGAGGTAAGCTGACGCCCCGGTGTGGGGACGGGTGAGGTGACAGCCCAGTGTGGGGACAGGTGAGCTGACACCCCAGTATGCAGACAGGTGAGCTGAAGCCCCTGGTGTGGGGACGGGTGAGCTGACACCCCGGTGTGGGGATGAGGTAAGCTGACGCCCCGGTGTGGGGACGAGATGAGCTGATGCCAGTTGGTACCCGTTGCATGGGGACAAGTGCTGCGATATGGACTGAGGGTCCCGGTCAGGGTGAGCTCTGTAAGGCTGCTTTCAGTGGGACTCCAGGCTTGAGGAGGCTGGCAGCAGCCTGGCCCAGGCAAGAGGAGCTGAATCCTGATGATTCCAAATCCCATCAGCCCCTCACTGTGTCTAAGCCCCACGTGCAATGGGGCCTGGCCTCCAAGAAGGGGGGGTGGCTATTTGGGGCGAGGTGTGGGTGCCAGGGCCATCTGAGGCCACCCTCAGGGCACCTCCCCTTTGATGGATCCCATCTGGGCGGTGGGTGGCGTGAAGGCAGGGCTGGGTTCAGGGGCCAGAGCCTGCCTAGCTTGTGGCGGGGGTGAGGGTGGGCACCGTGCCGGCCGTGGGGACGAGGGTACGGGGTGCGGGAAAAAACGTGGGCCAGGCGCACGAGGCTTCCGTGGCTGCTCTGTTCTCGGACGCACGGCCTGACCGCCGCCCGCTCCCCGCCCGTGGGGCAGCCCAGCACGTAGTGGGCCTCAGCCCCGGCGTGCCGCTCAGGTCAAGCGGCAAGAAAGTAGCCACAGGATGTAGGGCCTGCCCTGCAGGTTCTCACGGCCACACAGCAGCTGGCCAAAATCCTAAAGCACAAAATCTAGGAACCGACCGGGAGAATCCAGGGAGCCAATCAGCCTGGGCTGGCTTCCCACGGTTGGAGCATTTGCCCGGAGCCCCATGGACACAGGCGCAGAGAGGTGCAGTGCTCAGCCCTCAGAAGGCAGGAGTGGCAGAGGACTGAGCTGCCCCTCCAGGTGGCCTCTGAGGGCACACGGGGCCTGGCACAGGCCTCAGCCCCGCGGGGACCCTAAGAAGCCCCGAGCACAGGTGGGGTGGTGTGGGGGGCAGATTTCTGGGTGCCCATCCCGTGGGCTCAGGTCAGGGCAGGGCTGGTCCCAGGAGGCTGTGGGATCCTGGGGGCGCGGAGCAGGGGCGGGTGGGAGCCGGGGGGGGGCCGCACACACTCACCCCGAACATTTGCCGCAGGTCGGGGTCCCTGAACCGGAAGGGGATGTTGGAGACGTGTAGCCGCTTGGGCTGCTGCTTCTCTGTGGGGTCGGAGGGGTGCAGTGGCTGGCTGTCCGTCTGTGCCGCTTCGTCTGTCTGCTGTAGGCAGAGCAGCGGGCTGTGAGGTGCCCCTCAGCTCCCACCCCGCAGGAGGGGAGGCTCTAGAGGCCAGGTCCCCCAATTCCCTGGGCCTCCCCATCCTGGGGCTGGGATCGGGGGACTTCTGGGTGGATGATTCTCACTAGGTACCGCCTCGCAACCTCAGAGGTCCCACGGCAGGCATCTGCACGGGCTGCGCCGGCCGCCACCACGAGGCAAGGTCTCCGGGGCTGGGGGTGTCTCCACTCCCCCGGCTTGGCCCTGTCCACAGGTCTGACCTTAACGGTCCCTCAGCTCCACCGACTACTACGATCGTCAAAGTCCTGGGTTTGCCCTTTGCCGGACACGGTCTAAGTGCTGGGAGCACGGGGACCCACGAGGCAAGGACCTCTGAGCCCACAGCCCCCGTGAGGACGAGGCCGGGACGGGCGCCGAGGCCACAAGCTTGTGAAGCTCCTCTGGGTGGACTTCTGCAGGGACGGGCGGCCATCACCACCCGGCTGGCCGTCAGCCCGGTTCTGTCCCTGCCGAGCCGCCGTGCCACAGGCATGCAGCGGGCGCTCTGTCAACGATGGGCCGAGGTGGCCGCTCAGCTCACCGTGACCCGGACGCCGGGCGCTCACGGGGATACACCAGCACCGCCCACCGCCAGCCCCGAGGCTCATGCTGGCTCAGCTCGCTGGCGCGGCCTGTCAGAGTGCGAGTGTCCGGGAGTGGCCCTCAGCCGTGGACAGACACGGCAGGTGCACAGGCGGCCCAGCACCCACGCCTGGGGCTCCACTCTGTCCCCGTGTCCCTGGGGGGCCGACAGGCTGAGAACGTGCCTTTCCCTGCTCCTTGCTCGCCTGCCCCAGTTCCCCACTCTTCTGTCAGCGTTTTCTTGGGATCACGTCCCTGGCCCTCTGCTTGGACCTGGAGCCTGGTCCAGGGTCTGCTTCTGGGACGGTGGGACCTTGGCCGGAGGCACGAGGCGTACCCCGGGTCCAGCACAGCAGTCCCGAGCGTCTCCGACACGCCTGGAGAGCAGGGGCGGGAGGCTCCCCTGAGGCCCACGCTGGAATTTGTACGAGGGCAAGTGCTGGTGGCCGTGGCCCCCCACGTGACCTGAGAGCACAGGCAGCTGACCGGCAGTGACAGGCCGGCAGAGGAGAGACGCCCAGAGTCCGCTTCCCTTAGGTCTCAGAGAACCATCGCGTTGCTTAAGCCACTTTCTGGTGGGTTTCCTTGCGGTCCAGCAAAGGAGTGTTGATGGGTACAACAGGCCTCCCAGAATTAGGACAGGTGAGCAGGGCCAGGCCACTGTGCCCGAGGCCTCCTCCAGGCCGAGGAAATGGAGCCCAAAGGGCGGCTAGTGGCAGGAGGTCTGTCTGCGGACTCCTGAGCGGCTGCCCTCAATGGTCATCCTGTTCATCCTTTCTGGAAGGAGGGGGCTGTTACCCTATTCCTGGCACTCAGCCGGGAGGCCTCTGACCAGGCTGCCAGGCAGCAGATGCCAGAGGTGAGGGGAGTGGACGTCATCAGCTCCTGGGCTGGTGAGAGAGGCTGAGCACCTGCTCAAAGGTCCCTGACACTCAGGTTTGCACTCCCACGTTAGGAAGCAGCAACGGTGTGCGATCCCCAGCATGGCTGGAAGCCACCGTCCTCTTGCTCACCTGGGGCGTGTATGACTTGTTTGGGGGGCGTGGCCGTCCTTTGAGGGGTGGGCCTGGTTCTGACGAGCCTGTGTTCTCGGAGTCCTCCTATCGGGCTGCCAAGTGATGCCCGTCCCAGGCTGGGGCTGGAGGTGATGCAGCACCTGGGCCCGGAGGTCACCAACCAGCCCCAGGAGCCAGATTACTGGAGCATCCATGGAGGAACCGCTGGTGGGTGGGGGTGGGTGGCAGGTCCACGGAGGCAACACCGGGCAGCTGCCTTTGGGTGCCTCAGGGACACCCGGGAGCTCCTCCTATGAAGCCGGGGACCTGCGAATGCCCGACAGCCCCGCCTGCGCCCCCGTTCTCCTCCCTTGGTCCCGCTCTTCCGTGCAGAGAGCAAGCTTGCGCTAGACCCCCAGAAGCTTGTCCGCGCCCCTGAATCCAAGCAGAACCCGCCGTGCACCTGCTGACTCTCCCACCCTCTGGTTACGACAAAGTGTGGCTCTTCCTGTGCAGTGGTCAGGGTGCCCTCTGTCACCATGCCCCCACCCAGTGCATTTCACACGCCCAATCCTGCTGCAGCTCCTGGGTGCTGGTGACTAGAGGAGTCACCCTGAATTTGGGAATTCAGCCCAAGAGGGGCATGTAATGCTGACTGCAGACCAGCAGAGGGCAGCGGTCAGCTCGGCCAGCGCACCCGGAGCACCCGGGGAGCCCTGGGCGTTGGGGGCCGTGGGGGGCCGCTGCCCAGGCAAACGTCCGGGGCCTCCTGGGTTTCCCTTCTGCCTTGGGCCCACTGTGAGTCTCCACGTCCAGGCCCACCCCCACCCCCCCCCGTGCTGCAGACGCCTCCATAGAAGCCTTGGAGGGGAGCCAGCTGAGGGCAAGGAGGGGGAATTGGGTGTTGGGGGGGTCCTGTGGAATGAATTGTAAGTGGGGCCAGAGCACAAGCAATCGGAAGGAGCCCCCTCACCCCCCAGCACAGCTACAGACAGAGGCAGATGAACGGGTTCTGTGACTGTAAAATCATAAGATGTGTGGAGAAACCCCCAGTGTTAACAGACTGGCGAGGAGGGGCAGGGGTGGGGAGGGGGCCGGCCTGTGAGGCCTTTCCCTGGGATTCCCCTTGTCTTTCCTCTTTCTCTTTTAAAGTAACCTCTGCCCCCAGTGCTCAAAGGCAGGGAAAAAGAAGACAACAGTGACCTACCCTACCCCCCCCCACCGGCCTCAGTCACCCCTCCCCTCCCCCAGCTGGCCACAGGGGCTTTGCTTCCTTGTCCCTGTCACCTTAGCCATCATGCCCCCTCCCCCACCCCCATTCAAGGCCAGGATCCGACCCCTGGTGGACCAGGGGCAAGGTCCAGATGTGCCCAGCACATCCCCCACCGTCAGAGGAGCCTACAGCCCCCCGTGCCGGGGCCTCCCCGAGCTTACTCGGCACAGGGAGAGGCCCAGAGAGCCCTGGGCAGGGGCTCATGGCCGGGGGGTCCGGTGGGGGCTCGGGCAGCAGGATGGCCTCATGGCTGGATGGATCCAAGGCTTGCTGATATGACAAGAGGAAGAGATCCTGGAAATGTTTCTCTGCAGCCCCTCACGCCTGCTCCCCCAGAGGCTCCTGGACACGCATGTAATGACCATCCCCCGCTCGCCAGACATGGCTCAGCTCTGCTGGGTGGCCAGTGCGCCTGGGGGAGGCCATCTCCACGTGTGGCCTCGAGCCGTCTGTTTATGACGATGTCTTTGTCATAACGGGCAGCCCCTCGTTGGGCAGAGCTGTGTGCTCCCACTTCGGACTCTGAGCGACAGAATATTCTAAGAGCTCTCTGCCGGCCACGCACCTGTTGCACTGATGCTGACCAAGGGTGTCGCCTGCTTGCACCTGGCCAGCCAGCATGGCGGCGGCGCACAGCTGGGTCTCACCCCCGGGGGCGGGGGAGTGGGTGGGGGGGCTGGGGGGTGCCTTTCCATCTTGCACTGTGTGGCCTTTGGTCCCCTTTGTGCTGGCACCTGCTAGCTGGGGAGGGGAGAGGCCCAGGGGACAGGCCCTGGGAGGTTCAGGGCACAGAGGGGGAGGGGGAGAGTGGGAGTAGCTTCTGAGCGTAGGAGCCCCTCTGGCTGTCCCGGGATTCGGGGAGGACAGGGGGGCGGGGAGAGCACCTGCAGGGGACCTGCGTGACCTTGAGTGAATGAGCACTCTGGGGAGGTGGTCCCCAGTCTGTACCCGTGGGGTCCCTGCACAGTAGTGAGGAAGGCCCCGATCCAGCAGCAGCTGCTGTCCCACACGGCACCCCCTGCCGCTTCTGCCAGAGACGACGAGCAGAGTCCACACGCAGGAGACAGCAGGTCTGGACAGAAGCCGTAGCCCTCACCACCTGCTGCACGGTACTGCCCCACCTGGACCCCAGGCCGCCTGGGCGGGGAGGGCCGAGAGGAAGCTTCGGTGAGCTGAGGAGCCTTCCTGCAAGGGTGGGACATGGGACAGCTGACCCGGTGCAGAGGTGTTCGGCTTTAGCTGGGAGCACCGGGCAGCTCCTCTGGGAAGAAGGTGGCTACTGGAATCTTAGAGCAGGATGGGGTGCCCTTGCCCTCTCCGGCTCCTCCCGAGGGGGGACACCCGTGCTTGTAGCAATACCCAGGCTCTGAGCGCCCGTGCCGTCCAGCGGTGGCCAACGTCTTTGCCTGGGTGTCTTCGCGTCCTCTGCGTCTCCAGATGAGCCTGCAGGGGCTCATCTGGCCCCGGGCATGGCCAGGAATGGTCTCTCCTCTGTATCCCCGGATGGAAGACCCACAGACCCTGACGAGCTTGCAGGACTTGAAGAGACCTGGGCTGGTCAAAGGAAGGTCAAGGCAGCCCCGTTGACCAGGCTTGGGGCGCAGTTGGGCCCAGGCGCTTTCCTCAGGAGGCACTTGGCCGGAGACGTGAGACTCCCACCTCTCAGGTGGGACGAATCCTTTCGGGGACTCCTGAGTCCCCTCCGGGGCCCATATTCTGTCACAGGCATGGAGGCCGTGACTGGCCCCTGTTGACTTTTAGGTCCCTGATGGGTGGGAACTGGTGGCCACACTACAGGGCAGGGCCGGTCATCTCTTCCCTGTACCCGCCCTCCCCCCCCAGTGCTGGTTCAGTGCGCGGTGCACAGTAGGGTCCCCACCACCGTCGGTCGAGGGGAGGAAGGCTTCATGCTCTTCGCGGTTTGGCTGCACCTGGCACTCCGGTGTCCAGGAGGTCTCCCGGCTCGTTCTATGGCGTAGGCATTCGCTGTTGCCTCTCCCCCATGGCACCTGCCAGTGTGACCGCCTTGTCTCCTGCACTCGATCCAGGGCAAATTCCCAGCCTCACCCTTTGTTCGTGAGGAGGCCTTGTCATGGGAGATCTGGACAGATACACCCTGTCCGCCGGAGCCCTTCCGAAGGACGCCGTCCACCGGCCGTGATGCAGTCCCGCCGAGCGCTTCCGGCTCTGCTCTGAGCACACCCACGCCGTGGGTTTGAGGAAGCCAAAGTGAAGGCAGAGCGGCCCCAGAAGTACAGTTCGGCTCCCAGTTCGATGGCCCGTGGGCCTTGCTTCTTGCAGCTGCAGGAACCCCGGGTGGGGGTGTCTACAGGAGACTCCCCACACTGGGACGTGGGGAGTGGAAAGGTCTGACTTCGCTGGCGGCGCTCCACACAGGACGGAAGGGCACTGGCTGGGCCCCACATGACGGGCTGGTCCAGCCCAGTGGGCAGCTTGGGTGGGCTCTCTCCCCAGAGAGCTTGGGGGGCTGCTGTCCACACAGGGAGGGTGGGTAGTATCTGGGTCCCCACGGCACCCTGGGAGCCAGGCCGGAAGGGCGGCTGAGGGAGCACAGAGGGGGGTGCCCTTCGGGAGGCTGCTGGCCTCCTGCCCAGCCCCAGCCAGCCTGCACTGGGAGGGAGCCAGCGGGGGACAGCCGAAGCCCAGAGGCCGAGGCAGGGGTGGGCGCATGGAGACGGTGGTGGGGAGGAGGGCCGGGGAAGGGGTGGGGCCAGCTGGTGGATCCCCAGGAGGGGCTGCGTCGTGGCATGCCCACCCCAGGCCGGCCGCCCCTGGCCACGCTCCTCTGCTGTCTGGGAGCCTCTGGGAAGCGTGTGGCTCAGCACTTTCTCCTTGGAGCCACATTACAACCACATAAGTGAGGCTCTCTGATTGGAGAGCAGCCAAGCAGGTAGATTACGAGTGATTAGAAATGATCGCCGTGCCTGCCACCCGAGACACGCAACGGGCCCTGAGCCTCCTCTCCCGTCGCCCTGCCCCCGCCTGTGCAGACACCCTGACCCAGGCCACACCGTTCCCCTCACCTCCCAGGGACGGGTTGCTGGCGGCCCAGCTGGGAGGCTCCGCTCAGGGGGTCGGGCAGCCATCGGGGTCACCGGCCACCCCGTGCCTGGTGTCAAATGAAGAGCTCCATGGCGGCAAGGACCTGCCTGTCCATCTCGGAGGCCCCCCCCCGCCCCTCCCCCTGCGGGCCCTCACTGCCCCGCTAAGCCTCCCCTCTGGGCGGGCACTGCTCCCTGAAACTCTGGGCTCGCAGGGCCCCTTACCGGCACTGTCTGGGCACCGGCGATGGGCTGTGTGCTGGCCTCGGTGCCTGGCTGCTCGGGGTGGGTCTGTGCTGGTGTGTACAGGGTCAGGCCGTGCTCCGGGGGGACCGGGGTCTGGCCTGAGTAGTCCTGCGTGGGATGCGGAGGGGGTGGTGCGTACTCGGCAGGGATGCCGTTCTGTGGCGGAGGGGGGTACTGGGCAGGGGGGTAGGGCTGGGCCATCGCTTCAGGCGGAGCCGTGGCGTCCTGATTGCCCTGCCGAGGGAAAGAGAGCAGGCTGGTTAGACGGCTGGCGGACCTGGACCCTGCCCCCTTCCAAGAGCTTGCAGGCCGGAGCGGGGGTTTCCAGAAGCATGGCCCAGACCCTCTGGGTGGGGGTGGGGAGCTCCCCGACATGGGGCACCAGATCTGAGCCGTTGGAGGTGCCTGGGGAGCCCAGGGCTTGAGATCACCGATGCATACTTTCAGACCCACATTAAGCTCGTGCAATTTTAAGAAATAACACCATGTGATCCCGTGCACCCTCTACCCAGTTGATCCTGTCGAGATACAGAACGTGCCAGCAGCACAGGGTTCCCTCCTGTCTCCCTTAGAGCCATGCCCTCCTCCCTTATGAAGGCTTCAAGCCCCGGTTTTTCCCATCGGTAAAGCAGGAGAAGGAGAACATCATCACAGCCTGCAGGGAAGATGATCAGAGTTGATCCCACAGAACTGGGAGCCTGGCACCACAGGGCCCCCATCGTGGCCCCGGAGCTGAGGTGCTGTCTGTGGGGCATGGAAGGTTCCAGCTCTGTCTTGAGACCCCCGAGCAGATCTCCAGAAGACCCCACCCTGTCCCTGAAGGCCTGCTGCCCCAGGGGCTTTTAGAAGCCAGGGCCCTGGGGCAGGGTCCCAGCCACGTGGCAGGGCAGAGGCTCTTCCCATGGGGCGCTTGGACCCAGAAGCCTCACCTGGGAGCTTGTCGGCAATGCGCACCCCAGACCTCCTGCAGCAATCTGGGCACCTACGGGAACCCCTGCTGTAGCCCTGGGAGAAAGCCCCTCAGCCCCAGAGAAGGGACAAGGGTCCTCATGCTGTCGGGGGGAGGGGTGGAATAGGGGTGGGGTTCTGGCTTCTCCCACTTGTTTTTCCCCATTGAGGATACATGCCGGGAGGGAGGGCAGGTTTGCAGCAGCCCCTCTGAGCAGGTGAGGCACTCTCTGACCTTCCGAGGGTGTCCTCAGGAGAGAGTGTCCCCACCATCTGGAAGGACAGGTGCCATCCCTCACTTGAGTATCTCCCCAGTGTGGAAGGACTCTTGCACAGACGTGGACAGTCTCACCAAGGAGGAACCCCACGCACTCCTGCGCTGCCCCCACCCTGGCCTTGGCATGTTTTGAGGTCTGTTTCCCTGCCCATGCCCCAGTGAAATGGGGGCTCCTTCCAGAGAACATGCCCGGTCTTGCTCTGTTCTTCATTGCTTACTACTTATTCGCCCCACAACTGTTTATCAGGTGTTTGGGGGGGGCGGTGCCAGGCCCGTGGCTCTGGCGGAGAGTGGAGCGGGATGGGCAGCCCCCAGCCTCTGTGGGCTCTGCCGTCCAGGGCAGGAGTGAATGCAGACAATTACCCAGAGCATGAGGTGACCTGAGGGGCCTGGCCTCCTGAGGGTGCTGGTGAATGTGCACAAGACCTGGGCTGGGTGTTCTGCCTGCAGCCCAGGGCCCTGTCCCCCACTGACCGACCTGTCCGCCTGCCCAGCTCCCTGCTGGCAGGAGGCCTGAGGCCAACTCTCTGCCAGGGGCCCCAGTCCTTTTAAACCCCCAGAGCTAGCCCCTGCTCTCACTGCCCCTAAATCCTGGGGTGACCCCTGACCCTGCTGAGCGGTGGCCTCACGAGCAGAAAATTCTGTGCCACCCTCTGTCTGCAGAGCCCGAAGCTGGGGCAGCATCTGAGCTCCAGGCAGTGGAAGGGAAACACGTGTGTGCATCACACACGCTCATGAGTGCACACCCTTTGCTGGACTCCCCACCCCAAAGTAGCCCACAAAGTCCCATTACCTACTGGGCAGGAGAAGGGGAGGGTGCAGGGTGAGGAAGGGGTGGGTTGGGGGAGGTGAGAGCTGGTGGAGGCGGAGGAGCACCCGGGGTGGGAGGGACAGAGGCCAGGGCAAGGGGTGAGGGAAGCAGGAGGGAGGAGGCAGAGGAGGAGGGTAAGGGAGAGGGAGCTGTCAGCAGCCTCGAGAGATCAATTAACTGATAAATATTTGATTAGAACCTACACCAACTCACATCTTCCCAGGGCCCCCACTTCCCCCCTCTTCCAAGGCTCAGGAAGGAGGGGCTCTTCTATCTGCTCGTTCCCACCCCACCCCCTACCCCTCCTCAGCACCCTCTTCCCTGGGTCCCCTCGGGACTAGTGACAGCTGCCACTCCCACCGCCGCGGCTCCCTGGGCTGGAGCGCAGAGCCCAGACCGCCAGGAAACCTACAACACAACGGTGGGATGGCAGGGTGGTGGGTTTGGGGCTCGAGTGCCCGTGTCTGAAGGGGTCTGGGTAGGCAGGAGGCAGCTGGGAGATGGGGCATCCAGGGCCATTTGGGACGTGATAATAAATCAGCACATCTGAGCATAGAGAGAGCTCTGCTTTGCACACTAACTCACTGAATCCCCCTCCAACCCACCAAGCGATCAATAGCGCCCATTTCACAGCTGGTCAAACTGAGGCACAGGGACCGAGTGACTTGTCAGGCAGATACAGGAGGAGCAGGGATAGCAGCATAGATTTCCAGGCTCTCAGATCTTCACCTCTGCTCCTGCATGCATGACTGTGGCCCTTCATGGGGGCTCTGGGGGGTGTGAGGTTTCACAGCTCAGGGGCAGAGTTAGAGCCTGGGATACACAGGGAGGGCTCCCCTTAGCCACCGGGTGGCCCTGGGTGACCATTCATTGTCTTTGAACAAATTCCCTCATCTGCAAGAGATCATCACCGTGCCCGGACAGAGAAATGCAGAATAAAACCTAGCTAGTGTGATCTGGTGGGTCCTGGGGGAGATTCTCATCACCCCTGTGTGTCTCCTCCACATCCACGCTGGAGGTGGCTGTGCTCAGGTGAGTGGCCCGCACCCTGGCTGCACATCCCACGCCTGGACCCCTCCCCAGGGCAATTGAGTGGATTTACGATCAAACTTTCCCATGAGGTTCTGCTGTGCAGCTCGGGCTGAGGGCCCCTGGACCAGCCTTGGATGGAAGAGCAGAGGGTATCAGGTGCACCTGAGGGCGTGAAGTGCCTGACACAGAGAGGGCAGCACGGCCAGTGCTGTCACATTCCTTTTCATCCTTCTTCCTCGGTCTGCTGCGGCCAGAGTGGAAGAGAGGCTTGGGCTCTGCGGCATGAGCCAAGCAGACTCCTCCTGCTAGGCTGGGGCCTCGTCTCAGCTGGCCTTGTTTCAGAGCAGCTTGTGAACATATCTGGCTCCCCAGGGGACTGGAAATTCCCAGAGCACGAGGGCCACTCACTCACTCTCTGCTCCCATATCCCTAAACTCAGCACAGCACTTTGTTGCACTCAGAGAAGAGTCTCAATGCACATCAGATGAGTGGATGTGTGCATGGATGGATGGTGGATGGAAGAATGGTGGATGGAGGGATGAATAGACAGACCAACAGACAAATAGGCAGATGGATGGATGGGTAGATGGATGGGTGGGTGGATGGATGGATGTATGAATGGACGGATGGATGGATAGATGTATGAATGGATGGGTGAATGGATGGATGTATGAATGGATGGGTGAATGGATGGATGGGTAGATGGATGGGTGGATGGATGGATGGATGAATGGATGGGTGGATGGGTTGATGGATGGGTGAATGGGTGGGTGGATGGATGGATGGATGGGTGGGTGGATGGGTGGATGGATGGTGGATGTATGTATGAATGGATGTATGTATGTATGAATGGATGGATGGATGGATGGATGGGTGGATGGATGGATGAATGGGTGGATGGATGGGTGAATGCGTGGGTGGATGGGTGAATGCGTGGGTGGATGGGTGAATGGGTGGATGGATGGGTGAATGCGTGGGTGAATGGGTGAATGGATGGGTAGACAGGTGAATAGATGAGTAGATGGATAGTCATTATCCCACTTCCTCTACAAATTTATTCCTCCCTCCTATCATCACATTTTCCTGATAGGACTGATCAGATCCAGCTCTTCCCACTGCACTCCATGGCCCACACTGCTGGAGAAAAACATAAAATCACCCTGAATGATTCACTTGAGATCACTGACCACTGACTGAGGCAGCTTCCTTGTTTCCTGTTTTCTGCAGAAAACAGAGGAGAATGTCCACACTCACCTGACGGCCTGCTTGCCTTATATCCTAGAGCCCCGCCCTTCTCACCAACGCATGCTCACAGCTCTGCTGATTTGCTGCCATCTCTCCCATGACAGGTCCAGGAGAACCCCCTGGACCCAATGGCCCCTTCAGCCTACACACCCAATTCGCTGCTTCCCTACAGAACGAAGTCTCTGGAGTGAGCTGCCTTGATCTGCAACCCCCAATTCCTTTACTCCTACTCTTTCTTAGCCCCACTCCAACTGGCTTTCCCTGGCACCATTCCCTGAAACTACCTTTGTCAAAGTTCCCACGTCTGCCATGTTGAAAACCCCACCGGACCTGGTCCCTCAGCAGCACTGACCCCTGTTTCTAGAATCGCTTTCCTCTCTCGGCTTGGTCACACCACACTCTGTTGGTTCTTCTGCTTTACTGAAAGTTCCTTCTACATCTGTGTTACCGTTTCCTCACATCTCCCCAACCTGTAGATGTTGGAGGCCCCCCAAACCCAGTCTTTGGACCCTCTCTGATGTGGCTAGAACTAAGGTTCTTAGTTTCAATTTAAAAATACCATCGGCATGTTGACCATCCCCAAGTTGTGTCTCCATTCTGGACTTCTCCCCAGAATTCCAACTACAGCCAGCCGTCTGCGCACCTAATACATAATTCGAGCTTGACCTACCCCTGAGGGGACTCCTGCTTCCTTCCTCGTTGTCCCCATCAAATCTGCCTCTCTTGAGGTGCCCCCCTGCCCACAGGCCAGTGCTCAGCCCTACACCTGGGGTGATCGCTCTCTTTTTGTCCATTCCAAACAATCAGGCAGGAAGTCCCATCAGCTCCACCTTTAACATGTACCCAGAACCCAACCATCTTGGCCAGCTTGCTGCTCCCACCTAGGTCTGGCCCCCATGACTTCCCCCAGATTCTGCTTCT